CCCAGCCTGGCCCCTATGTGGCTAACCTTGACCTTCTGATCCTTCTGCCTTCACTTCCTGAATGTTGACGATCACAGGCCACCATGGCCAGTTGATACAGCGCTGGCAATCGAACTCTGGACTTTGTACTCTGTAGGCAAGTACTCTGCCCATGGAGTTACATCCCCAGCCCCAGACACCAACTTTCTCATGAGTGAGGCTGGGAGCAGGGGTCACCAGGGCCTGTGTCACCTTCCTGGGTGAAGTCCCAATGTAACTCGTCCGTCCCTTCTCTTACCGTTTACATCTGCGCGTCCAGTCATGTATCCCATATTCCATTCCAGTTATGTCAAAGCTGCCGCCCACATCTGCCATGGTTTTGAACATGATCCTTCCACCCACCTTTCCAACCAGGGAAGTTCATTCATCTTTTAAGAACTTCTTCTAATGTGACCTCTAGAAAATTATCTTACCCTAAACAAAGCCGTTCTTTCCTGTATAGCATCCACAGCCTGCTTCAGTTGTGGAACTAAGTAGGCTGGCAGGATTGATTTGTAATTTCAGCTCCACATGGTGTCCCACAGAGGACAAGGACTTCATTTTAGACATTCCTACTCTCCATCCCAAGGCTTTACAACAGTAGGAATATTGACTTTTTAGGCCAGAAAATTCTTTTTAAAAATATTGTTACATTTTCTTTATTCTGTGTGTGGGACAAAGTGTGCAGGAATCAGTTCTCCCCTGCTACGATGTGTGAGTCCCAGAGATCGAACAGGTTATCAGGCTTGATGGCAAGAACTTTTACTAGCTAGGCCAATTTGCTGGTCCACAGAAAAGCAGTACAGATCTCTAGTGTGAAGATTTAGAAAAATGTCCTCAGACATGGCTAATGTCTTGGGGATGTGGCATACTTCACACACACACACACACACACACACACACACACACACACACACACACAAGCAAAAGAAAGAGAGAGAGAGAGAGAGAGAGAGAGAGAGAGAGAGAGAGAGAGAGAGAAACACAGAGAGACACAGAGACAGAGAGAGACACAGATAGAGAGGGAGAGGTTCCTGGTTGGAACCACTACCCCAGCTCTAATAGACAGCCTGATCCTAGGTATTTAATGAATATTTGCTGAGCTAACAAAGCAATACTCGAATTAATGAATACAAATCTAAGTGAATCAAGTGCACAATGGTAAATAAACAAACCCAACATCTTGTTTTAGCCTCTCTGCATCCATCAAATCAAACTTGAAGTCTCTATTGTAGCCACGGAGGCTCTTCAAGGGCGGACTCAGCCTTCCTTCTGCCTTTGTCAGGGTTTTGCTCTTGCTCTTGACCTCTGGGCTCTTTCCTGTTCTCTTGCTTTGTCTGCCTTTCCTGTCACTCAAATTCCATGCTTCCTTCAGGACAAAGGACTAACTTCTTGCAAACGCCTTCTGCCACTTGCTCACATTCATCTGGGAATGAACACATGTGCATGTATACTGCTTTGGGTCTTAGGATTATTGATTAGTGTTTTGTTTCGTAAACACACATACAGACTTTCTTCTTAACTGAAAAATAGCTCCTCGGCAGGAGGGTTCGCTCCTTCCAAGCTTTTCTTCCCCTTACCACTGCTGGGAGCTGGAAGAACAGATGTTTGGCTTTGCTTGAAGCACACACTGCTTTAAGGAACTAGCAGATGTGTTCAATCTGTGATCTGTGTTGAAGAGGCAAAGGGATAACTCCTTGATAACCTGCAGTTTTTAGAATAAGTTCAGTCAAACAGATATGAATAGAAGGAGTTTGCAAATGTTTTAGGATTTCTGTGAGAAAGCATGGAATACACTCCCAATAAGAAATACGGAAATGCATGCATTTTCTTTTCCTTTGTTTTTTCAATTCTGTTTGTACTTAAACTCCACTCAGGATCTTTTCTGCAGTGGCAAAACAGTATTAGAAACTGGGTGTGATAGTGCATGCCTGTAATACCAGTACTTGGAAAGTAGAGGTGGGAGGATCAGGAGTTTAAGGCCAGCCTGGGTTATATGAAACCCTATTAAAAAAAAAAAAAAAGAAAAGAAAATAAACCAAACTAAATAGCCACCACCACAACAAACTGTGATGTTATCAGGTTAAACAAAAACATCACATGTGGAATCCGGGTTGAAATAAAAATCTGAAGGTGGAGGGGACTGTCTGAAGAGGAGGAAGAGCATGGGGGTGGGGAGGAGGACACTAGGGAGTGAATGGGATCAAATTACATTCCACAAGTGTATGAAAAATGTCATAGTGAGACTCGTTATTAATTAGCAGTTAATATATGCTAATGCAATGTCTTGGAAACAAATACTGCCAGCCTTCCTGGTTTCTTTCTCAGCCCCACCCAGGCTTCCAACTGGCTCCAGGTCTGTGGGTTTCCAAGTACCGCAACTGTAAGTTTCCAGGACCAGAAGCAAGTTCCTCTCTGTTCCCATGGGTTGCTCCTACTGTGGTGTGAAAGGCTCCTGTGTCTGAACACTTGGTCCTCAGCTGGTGGTGCTGGCTTGGAGACTGTGAGATCCTAAGGAGGAGAAGAAGTTCTGCTGATAAGAGTGAGTCTCTGGGGACAGGCTTTGGGGTTTCATAGCCTAACCCTACTTCCTGCCCAATGGTGGCAGGCGCAAGGTGACCAGCGACCTCAGGAACCTGCAGCCACGCCTTCCCTCCTTGATGGAGTATATGCGTCTCCTTCTAAAGTGTGAGTCAGAGGAACCCTTCCTTCCTCAAGGTGCTTCTTGTCAGGCATTTGGTCACAGCAACAAGCCACCAACCCCTTCCTCCTGTTGATCCCTTTCAGGTGTTCTCAAGCTGGAGGCTCAATCTTGATGGCATGCTCACATGTGAGTGAAGACTTGTTATTATGTGCATACGTGGTGTGTGTTTGTGTATGTGCATGTCACGGTGAGCATGTGAAGGGCAGAGGACAACTACATAGAGTTGGTTCTCTCCATCCACCTCTTTACAAAAATAAATGTGTGTGTATGGGGGTTTTGCCTGAATGTCTGTTGGTGCCTCATATTCATGTCTGGTGCTTGCAGAAGCCAGAAGAGGGCATCAGGACTCCTGTAACTGGAGTTCCCAATGGCTGTGAGCCACCATGTGGGCAGGGAATCCAAGCAAGGTCCTCTTCCAGAGCAGCCAGTCTTCTTAACTCTCCATCTCTAACATCGCCATCTCTCCAGCCTTCTTCCTCTCTCTCAGTCTTTGCCCACTGAGCCATCTCCCCAGCCCACTTTCCTTGTTTTCACGTCAATAGATAATCAAAATCGAGTTCTCTCTGATCTCCTCTGGCTCTGTCTCGTGCATTAGCTGTGGTACAAGCTTTCCTGAGTTACCAGTTCCTAGTTCTGAAGGCGGTAGAAGAGTCAATAGTCCAATCTGGAATTCCAGGTTCCTTTCCCTGCTTCTCCATGCCACACTTTCCTTCAGAGCCTAAGTTCTCACCACTGCCCTGACATGTGAGCATGAGCCAGACCCACTGGCTGTCCCGTAGCCTGGACAGGGGGCCTGTAGTCTTTCCCCAACTACAGAGTGAAGGTCTTACTCAAAGGTCCTTCTGAAGCACGTTTGCCCTGGGTCCTAAGCAAAGGCGGATCAGTGTCTCCTACGCTCAACAGTGCTTCTTCACCCTCTTTGCTTTGAGAACGTAATACATGAATTTTCATGCTAGTTGCTGAGCTGAAGAAACCCCTGGCTCATGGAGTACAGTGTTTCTCATTTGTTGACCTGTCCCTCACCCACTCATCCATCCTGGCTGTCATTCTGAGACTACCATGCTTATAAACCTGAACAGTATGTAACCCATACAGAAGCACCCATGCATGTTGCAGGCAATAGAGACATTGTGAATCACTGAGTCTGATACTCTGGTGCTTTAGGTATGTGATAAACTGTGTCTTTGACTATTTTCTTCTTTTAAAGTTGCAGGGCCCAATAACAACTTAGTTGGTGTCTAATAAATATGCTGAATAAGTGAACTGATTCCTAGAAGTCAATGGGAGGCACGCTGGGTCTGTCTCCCAGTTTTAAAGGGATCAGTTACAGATACCTTATAGCTGAGGCCCAGAAGTAGCCTGCAGTGGTACTGTGGGAAGATAGCCTGGATACCACAGAATACTGTTTCTGCTGTTACTGAGCCCTGTGAGCCACGTGTGTGGCCATCATAGGACAACTTGGCCAAGTTGCTCTTTCCTTCCAGTGATGTGGATTCCAGGGATCTGACTCAGGTCATCAGGCTGCTCACCACTTTTGCTTGGTGGGCCGTCCGTCTTGCTACCCTCTTCTCCAATTTTCCTTTTCATCTGCTTTGTATGTCACAGCATCATGTTCACCTGCCTTCTAATCCTGTAGGTCCAAAAGCACAGATGAGAGGAGAGCTGGGCAAATCCTCTCAACAAAGACAAACTCCTTACACATTTTCACATTTTCAGACCTTGACGTGAGCGCTCACTCAACAGGAAAATGCTTTAAATGACAATGACCATGAGAACACAAATGCCCAGTTCACTTTAAAGTCTTTATTATCCTGAATATAAAAGACAGAAGTCCTCTAGGATATAACAGAGTTTTTTTTTTTTAATGTGGAAACATTATTTTTTTTACAAGTGAAAAAATAAATACCTCTTGGAATAAAGGCTTATATGCTAATATGTGCCATAAAAAAGTAGAGTTTTAATATCTGACAAAATGTCTGTGCAAAGAAACAAATGCATAAACACATTACTGCTACATTAAGGCAATATGAAACGTAGACTCAGAAATCTCAGTAAAGTGACAGTGTAGGTAGGTTTCTAGCTTTCACTTAGCTAGTATTGCACCCGATGAGGTCAGCGAGGTTTCCTGACACCCTAGAAACCCCCCTAGCTCACTAGCTTCCAAAATGCCCAAGTGGGGGTGGAAATATGATTAAGACTATGGGAAGGGAATAAACTAACCCCACCTCTGAAAGATGCAGGGCAGGGGCAACGCAATGACTATGGAAGTATTGACAAGAAAACACGAACAAAGCGAAATCAAACGCACACACAAAGGAGACACTATCTAGAGACCTATGATAAGGCTGTAGAAGGTTTGATCTTCAGGCAAGGCGACACCCATGGGTGCAGCTGGAGTGAGTGCTTAGGGGACGTGAAGAACCGCCTGAGCACACCAGGAGCCTCTCTGGCACTCTTGCCCTGTCTGTCTGTCTGTCTGTGAACTTTCCTTTCCAATCTCCAAATATTCCAACAGCTCAAAAGCCCAGGGAGTGCTTGACTAGGCCATGGAAGTCGTTTAACCAAACTTGTAACATTTTATCACCGAAAGGCATGGGGTGCGGGGTGTGGGAAAAGAAGGGTTAAGAAGTCACCCACGTTGAGTTTCCTGTTTCCTCTCATACACACTGGTTTCAATCTGACAACATGTTAACCCTTGAGAAGTCACAGGATTGCTTTTCAATCTGCTAGCTTTCCAGTCATTCTTGAATGAGTTATAAAGACAGAAATGACATTATAACAAGGACTATTTCTTTAAGGAAACAATTCCTATTAAAAATGTTCAGCGCTCCATGACCATAGAAAAAGAACCAAGGAAATTTTAAAACTCTTATAAAATCTGCTGCCTTGGGAGAAGTTAAGGAGACGTATGACATCATTTCCTAAAAGGTACCCACTGCTGGGCTATGGTACCACTTAACCGACAAAGACTATTTTATCTACTCCTTTACTTGATCATTAAAAAAACCCAAAGTCCAAGAAGGAATGTGTCTGCCCCAGAGCTCTTCCTGGTCACCACTGGGGCTGTTGCTTCTACTCACGGAAGAGGAATATGGCTGCATTCTTGCTTCTCTTTTCTTCTTTGTGTCTGAAAATGTCTCATGGCAGATGGGCGTCGAGAGTGAGATAGTTCCTCACAAGGTTCTTATTCTTATAGTTTACAATACTGCAGCTCATGGGGACCTGGCCTCTCCAGTAGGCGCAGGACTCATTACATGGCAGATTGACTCGTGGGGACATGGCCTGTCCAGTAAGCGCAGGACTCATTAGATGGCAGATTGAGTTGTGGGGACATGGCCTGTCCAGTAGGCGCAGGACTCATTAG